ACCACTTTTACCCATTAATATAGCATATCTTAAAATTATATTTTTATTATATATATATATATATATATATATATACACACACACACAGGGTGTCCTTAAAAATGTATTCACTATTTTACTTTGCTGTCAGTTCAAATATTTATAAACATGCATTTAATTTCATTAAATATTTAATTTAAACTGTTAATCTTCTTTGTAAGTCAATAAACACTACATTTATTGTCATTCAATGAGTACATTTTTTTTGTGGGGACACCCTATGTAGTGGGTGCATCATTATATATACATATATATATATATATATAAATAAATGAGATGGATACTTCAACTTATATAAAATAAAACCAAGCCCTTATCTCAAAATCCAGTTTAGATTTGCATTCTCATCTGTCATATTAATGCCTTAGATTTAAGCTAAGATTTAAATATATATCTAGGTTCTCTTTTGTAAGAAGAATTAAATATAAGTTGAATTTCATGCCGTAAGTCAAAATTGAAATTGGAACAACGCAACAGAAAATGAACGCACACACAGCAACTTTTGACGTTGTACAATTTTTACTTAAAAATTCTTCAAAAATGATTAATTTTAATTTTATAACAAAATGGAACTCTTCAGTCATATTTTTTTTTTCTAATTTTTCCATTGAAATCAACTTTATGCTTTTCATATTTGTCTTCCAAAGTCTATTTAAGAAATGAAAACATTATCTCTTTACAAAATGGTCCACTATATACATTATTCCCTGCACATACAGAAATCAATCAATAAAATCATCAGGTTGTAAAGAAATATTTATATTTACAAAAATTATTTGTGTAGGTTTCTTATTAAAAAATAAATAAAATTATGTAAAAGTAACAATCGTGTTGCACAAAATAATGAAAATTTAAAATTTAAAATGCATTTAAAATACCAGCAAAAATTTAAATGTAAATTGGAATTTTAAAAAATGACCAATCTTTACTTTTTCTTTTTTAAATGAGTTTCTCCTTAACCCTGATTTCAAGACTAACATTCTTTTCTTTTGTTTTCTTTTTTTAGTTTTTTGCTTCATTGGCCAACGCACACATATTTACATTATTTACATTGCTCAAACTGTTGTCCTCATCTTTATAGCTATATTCACAATGTTTCAACCATTATACGCTCTGGCCTTCTTCAGGTAATATATGTTGGAATTTTGAACTGAAGCATTTATTTAGTCCAAGGGGTGGATTGTTTAAATCCATGTGCCATCATTGGTTTTCCAATGTACATCACCTGAAGAAGGCCTGAGTGTACAACAGCCAAAATGTTGTGAATATAACAATAAAGATGAGGACAACATTGCAAATGATGTAAATAGTTGCAATACCTCACCTCAGAAATACACACACACATTTATTTAAATATATATATATATATATATATATATATAAATGGCAGGCTAGGATGGAGTGTGAAGCCTTGAATGGCAACCTACCTAGAGATGGTGTCACAATAAAAACACTGAGGAAGAACATCCAGCTTTATAAAACCTTGCCTCAAATCATTATGACAAATCTTTTGTCAGGCAGGCTTTGGTGCTACCTCAAAAAAAAAAAAAAAAAATCATGAGTATGTATGTATTTCTACAGGCAGGAAAAATATAATGGTTACTTAATAAAAAATATTTTGCAAGAACCAAAGATTTCGAAATCTCATTGATTAAAAACCTGATTTTTTTTTTTTTTTTGTGTCAACCCCTTCGCAATCTGTCCTGTTACAATTCATTTGTGAAAGAAATAATATTCAAGATTACAGAAACAAGACACCAAATCCCAATTACTGATCATGGAGGGATATTTATTACAACTGAATCAAGAATTTAACACAGCCGTCTCTTAATATATAAAGATAGATTGATACATATTAATCTACCATAGTAAACAAAAAACATTCTGTTTTAAGAAATTTAGAATAATGTTAACAGATGTTTGCTACTAAATCTGATACAAATTGTTACCATATTCCAGGTGGAACTGACTCCCAAGAGGAACACTACAATCTTATCCTGTTTAAATCTAGATTATCTTCCGCACATATCCCTATAAACTGTACTGCTTACTCTAACCCTCTACCTTGAGTGGCTTTTTGACCTCAACATCACTGTAAAAGAAAAATTTATTTAACGCAATATAAAAACTGATCCCGTTTCATGAATCCAAAGATTTCTGAAATCATTTCAGAATTTGTTCTAATTGAAGACATGAATTTTGAGGTAACAGACAGAAAAAAGGGTTTTGTCTTTATAAACTGACCACTCAGGAATGATAGGCTATACAATATATACACTATACAATACAGTCCTACAATTAACACAAAACAAAAAGTCATAAAATATATATGTAATTTTATTAATCTAACACAATGGAACTCAGGTTTTCCACTGACATGACAAGGAAAGATTATATTGAATCAATTATTTGATCTGCTGCTAGGAAAGTTGGTTCATTATGCGATGCTAGACAATTTTTCTCTCCCAGATCTACATATTTATATGTCTATCATTCATCCATGCTTTGAATATTGCTGCTGTATATGGTCTGGTGCTCCTGCTATATATTTAAAGATCCTTGATAAAATCCAAAGAAGAATCTACAATATTACTGGTCCTTACCTGGCATCTCAGTCTCAGTCATTTTCCCACCACCATAATATAACTTCCCCGTACCTTTTCTATAAATACTTTCATGGTAATTGTTTTGATGAACTTTCTCGTATGATACCAGATTGTCAGCAAAGTCTCATCATTTTACAGCTGAAATGACTAGATGTAACCAGAAGTTCTCTGCTAAGTTTCTTCACTCACACTTTTCATTTGTAGAACTCCCTCCCAGATTTTTACTTCTCAGTCAACTTTGATCTTCAAAAATTTAAATGCTCTTTCAATTGCTATCTTTTGTCTTTTTAATTTCTGTTCTTACCCCTTAATAAGGCTTTTCTTTTTCCTTTTACCCTCAGTAACTCCCTATGTCTTAATGGCTTTGTTGCTTTGCTTGGGGGTGATATGATTTAATAAAATAATTTAGAATGTTGTCTAATTTCCCATTGAAGTTTTATATGAGCCACTCATATTGACATTGTCATTTAGACAGATGTTTCAAACTCCAAATCATTGAATTATCATTTTATTTCTGGGCTCAAGAACATTGGCGAGAATGTTTTGAATACAAGAATATATGACATGCTTGTACTTTTATTTGGCATTTCCATACTGCGATGGAAAAAAACCAACAAAATCCCAAAACTGAGCCCAACCCGGCAATTATCATTGGCAGTAGAACTTGTGATTTTTACAGCAACATGTCTAGAAATTATATAATCAGATTAATATTGTATCCTACATTAAAAAACTGGAATTAGGAAAATATTCAGCACATACCAAGGCTGCCACAGATCAACTATCCCCAGAACAAAGGCTCTTTACTAACACCAAACACAATTTAGATCACTAAAACCTCTCAGCATGAATCCCACATTACAGTTGTTTATTATGATAGGTACCACTAAAACTTATGATAGGTACCACTAAAAACAATTATCTTGACAAAAGAGCTTATTTAATCCATCAAAGTTAATCTGATAATCTTTCATAATGATCTTCACTCAGAAGCTTTCTTCTCATTCAATCTGAAGTGTCATTCTCTTTAAAAAAAAAAAAAAAAAAAAAAATTATATTTGATTCATTGATTCACAAGAATAAAATCAAAAAATAAAAACTATCAACAACTTTAGACATTGGATATTTTCTATAAAACCTGCAACAATTAGGGAAAGAATTTTTCAAGCTAAATGGAACCTTTAGAACAGAAAAAAATATTTTTAAAGATTTAATTTTATTTTTAAGATGAAGGTTTATAGAAATTGGTTTAAGATTTAAAAAAAAAAAAAAAAAAAAAAAAGAAGAAATCTTCAGAATTCACTTAGAAGGGTGGGGGGATGAAATGAAGTCAGAAAACCATTTCATTAAAATCGGTTGCCTGTTTTGACACTTGTGTAAACCTTGGACAGATTGTAAATCAATCAAAAGGAAAATGTCAAAGAATATAGCATGTCTTCGTCTGTAAAACCTATTAGTTAAAATAAATAATAATAAATATGTATATCTGAAGACCACTAGGCATTTCAAGATCAAGATTTGATAATGCTGAAGAATGATGAAAGTTTCTATTCAATTCTCAAAGGTTTAAATCATGTGAGTTGCTTGGTTAATTCAAATCTTACGTCAATAAATTAATGTCTCATTTCTGACTGGAAAAACATTGACTGCAAAGTCATAAAAAGCAACAAGAAATATTTGACAAGGCTACATTTTCATCATGTATGTAAAGGTTTGGTGGTATCGTCATGTTACTGTTAGAACATTCTGGTTTAATAATAATAATAATAATGATACTTATCCCCCAGACCATACTTGACTCTAGAGTCACATCTGATGATGTCACAACTTATTTTTTGAATATGGATGAAATAATTTTACTCTACCAATTGATCATCTTAACTACATTTGCTTATTATGATAATAATAATAGTAGTAGTAGTAGTAGTATTATATCTTAAGAGTCAAAAATTATTATTCAAGAACAAAGATTAGAATTTTAGTCATAAAGGACTGTTTCGAAAGTTCCTTCCTTACCTAACATTACAGCTATTTTTTAAAAAAAAGAAAAGAAAGCTTGAATTGTTTTTCTTTAAATTGTGGACTGACTGATTTGTTTTTTTATGTCTTATCAACCCTTTGCAAGTTATTTAAAGACAGAAAATATTTTTAGATTGTAAAAATGTTTTGGAAATAATGATTTATTGATACAAATATAAATAATTAACCCATAGCTTGGGGGAGTAGTAGTGGATTTGTACTTTTCTCAAGAGTATTTGCATGTAAGTGAATATAACAAACCCAACTGGAATTGAAATTCAGTTTCCTGATTTCCAATTCCAAGCCATTATGCATTACATCACCCACACTTCCAAGCTTACAGCAGCTGGTATTTCCAAGTGGTCACCCATTTAGATACTGGCCAGGCTCAACGTTGCTTAACTTCAGTGATCGTACAAGAACCGGTATTTCAACCTTTAAATTGTGGAAGAGGTATTTTTTGGGAAACCAAACTAGAAAAAAATTTATAAAGATGGAAAAAAAATTTAATAACAGTTGATAAAGGTAATTTTAGCTTCAAAAGAATAACTGTACAATTTGCCAATATTTAAATTTAAAAAAAAAAACAAAAATCCCTTAACCTTTCAAAGACAAATGCAAGGACTCCATTTCTTTTGTCTGAAACTGTTTAAATTCTTTGTGCCAAATCAGTGGAAGGAGTCTTTATGTAAAAAGATACAAAAATACTTAAAAAAAGAATGTTAGTCAAAGAAATCAATGCAACATTATTAAAAAAAAAAAAAAAAAAAATAGTCTAATTTAACATTTTCCAACTTTAACCCATTGGCTGCAGCAGAAATATCTATGATTTGCCATTAATAAGACAAAGATAAACAAAGTTTAAAAGATTAGGAACAACAAAAATCTTTCATTAAGCTTTTTACTCAAACTGTAATCTCATTTTAGGTGAAGAAAAAGAGAAGAAAAAAAAGAGAGAAAAAAAAAGCACATTTTCATTAACAAACCTCTTAATCTTCATAACAACTCATACAGCTGATATAGATTCCGATCTGTTTCTCAAAGATTATATACGACTTTTAGAATGAGTGTGCATTGTAAAGTTAGCGGATTATTCTTGTTTTCATTTGAAATCAGTTTGCCTTCAAAAACAAGACATTACTATCCAGACACACTAGTATTCAAATTTCAGTTCTTCAGTTACAAATTAGTACCTGACTAATGGGGGGGGTGCTACATTTTAAAATCCCTGCATTTAAAACTTTAACTTCAACAAGTTATGTTATTTTAAATAAAAGCCCAAATTATAGATTAAACATGGCTACTAAATATTGCAGGCTTTATAAACAAAGAAATAGATTCAGAATAAGAACATTTGATTGTCAGTGGTTTTAACGGTCAAGATCCTCACCTATTTGATAAGCAGTTATCTAATATTATCAGGAAAAAAAAAACCCCAAAACTTTGAACTTTCCACAATTTGAAATTGACATATTATATATATATATATATATATATATATATATATATATACACATACATACACACTTTCTTAAAAAAGTTTTTCAGAAAATTAGACTTCTCAATCCATTAACAGTTATAGTTCTTTCTAGTACCCATGGAAGTTTCCTTCCAAACCTTTTGTTTTTGTAGGGTGGAAAGTTAACAGTTTGATTATAGCAATATTTTCTTTTTTTGTTACATGTGCTACTCATTTCTATTGTTGGAAGCGTTCATTTTTGTTATTCAGTAAAAATCTTTAGTAGTGTCACTCTCTAGGGTTTGATGAAGAATTAGATTCTTTAAGACCAAAAAGATTCATTTGCTTCAAGTCATTTTTAATCATTGATCTGAGAAGATTGTGTGTGTGTGTGTGTGTGCGTGTGTGTGTGTGCGCATGCATGCAAGAGTGGACACTGAGATTAACATCAAGTGGTGACAATCTTCAGGTCATCTAACAATCTGAAGATAACATTCAAGCATGAAACAAATTGTCTTATATTTACACACCCTCTATCCCTGATATTAAGCACTTTTACCCATAAATATAGCATACCTTAAAACTATATGTATGTGTGCGTGTAAAATTTCAGATATACCTAAAATAAATATCTGTAAAAGGACAATATGAATAAAGACAAAAAGAAAACTTATCTTAGACAAAGCATTTTGTCCTCTGATGGACTTTATCAAGGCAAAATGTCAGGATTTTATTTTGCAACAAGTATTTATAAACAAAAATAAAAATGTCATTAGGTTTTCAAAATTTTTAAATTTAAGGATGCTCATAAACATATTAACTGAAAAGTCAACATAAATTATAAAAGATGCTAATTGATATAAATCTAATAAACAGAAGTGAGTAAATGAGTTTTTTTAATAATGTAATTAATATTTATATTTTGAAAAACTAATGACTTCTTTTGATTTTGTTTATATTTGTTGCAAAATAAAATCTTTACATTCACCTTGATAAAGTCCATCAGAAGACATCACGTCAGCTAAGTTTTCCTTTTGTCTTTATTCATTCATAATTATATATATATATATATATATATATACATACATACAATCAAAATATTTTGTTGTGTGGATTAACATTTTCCAACTTTCTTCAAAAGTCAAAATAATAAAAACCTCTCCAATGTCACACCTGAGATAGAATCTTAGACATGTTCGAGATCATATTAATATCAATAAAATAACAAGGGGACCTTGTTGAAAAATAAGAATTAGTGAGCGAGTCTAGCGAGACTACTGGATAGTTAATTCAATCCTCACTAGGGGACTGATACTGGTAATGTCCCAGACTAAGTCCAACTTAGTAAATATCTACACCATCTATGTAACCTTCTCATCTTAAGATTGTAATAGTCTTTATTTAGTTATGTAGATTTTAAACATTCATTCATTATCTTAAAAGATTCCAAAAATCCTGACAAAAAAAAAAATTATTAATCAACAATAAACACTAGTTATCAAATCTTATTTGTGGATTATTGTAGATTTTACAAATAAACTGACCTCAAAGAGCAAAGAAATGTCTGATATGGAAAATGTAGAGACTATTAGGTTCTATGGAAAAATGCTTCAAATGATAGGGGTAATAAAAATAAAAATTAAAAAAATTAAAAAAAAAAAACACCTTAAAACTTTCTAAGGAATGAATGGACTTCTTACCTCAGCTTAAAAATTAAGAATTTTCCATTTTATAAAAAATTAACACAAAGAAATGAAGACAGCTTACAAGGTTGTGTCATGTTTAATGCACTGAACATAGGTTAAGCAAATATTTTTTTAGTAATTTTCCATTAAAAGATAAAGAATAAATGAGAATGAAAAATGTTTTTCTGATATAAACCAAAGTCAAATTATGGTTCTAACTTTTTACTCTGCTTATTAAAATTAACTTTAAATATTGATCAGTAAAGGCTGACCTGTAATTAACACACAAATCATCTTAAAAACAAGCCACATAATCTGATTTAAAGATTTTTTACAGACAGACAATTTTGGGCAGAGAATAATCAAGATGGCAGCTTTTGAAAGAACTAAATACTGTAGAATGTATTTTTTAATCCAAAAGGCAGCCAAGGAGACAAATCAACTAAAATGTACTTTTATCCACTTTCACTTGGAAGGTAAAGGGGAATGGTGACTTATACTAACTTAAAAACTAAATATTATATATATATATATATATATATATATATATATATATATATATATATACATACACACACACACACACACGTGTATTTTCAAATAGTGTATCTGAAAAAAAAAAAAAATGCATAAAAAGACAAGGAAAAAATATTCTTAGCCAACATGTTTTGTACTCTTGATAAAGTCAGAAAAATGCATCAACTAAGAATAGTTTTTCCTAGTCTTTTTATTCACACACACACACATATATATTAGTAATAGATAAAATTAAATATTCACTTATCTGATCCCTGCTTTGAGTTTTGCAGAAAATACATCTTCTTGTCACTGGACTTTACAATCGATCTCCTTAATAAATGGATATAATCTCCACAAGAGGTAGAATAAAATAAGTAAACATTTAATTTGAACAATTATGATTAATGATCCATACATTGAACATTATAATTATAAAGACCAATTGCCTTAAAAATGGCGTCTACCAAAACTACCTTTGTTAAACATTCTTTTTTTTTGGCAATACAAACTTTTTTTACTGTTATATACTTAAAATTTATTATATTAATGGAGGAAGAGTATGCAGTATCAGAGATAGAATATTTGTAACTATAGACTGCATGGTGACTGTTAATTTCACACTTTACTTAAGGCCTGAAACTGACATTCCCTATGCAGTGTTGATTCCTATAATCACACTGTGTGTGTGATTATATAAACTGTGATCTTTTGTGGTGTGACCAGTAGAAGTTCAATCTACACAACTCGTCCATATTGTTGGATTACTCTTTTGGAAATATGTCAGTTGATTCAGCTATCTGCCTAATAGAAGGAAATGACAACAAGAAACCTATAACTAAAGGACCTTACTGTTATTAACACACACCATGACACATGAACTGGTTTGAAGGACAAGATTGATGGAGGACAATTACAACTTCTTGGAGAAGGCATTTGCAAAAGTCACTCAACACTCTCACTCTCTCTCTCTCTCTCTCTCTGATTATGATCAATAACCATTTTAGTTTTTAATATTTTGTAAAAGAAAACAGGTTCTTTGCAGATATTTATTTTATATATTTTTCATTCATACTTAGATACATAAGCAAAAAAGTTGATATAAAATTTAAAGGAAAAATAATATAAAAATCACTACTTCTGTCCCATAATAGATGCTACATTTGCATACACTGAATGGAACACTCGTCAGTAGTACATTATTATTTTAAAATAACAATATATTTCATAGGTTAACAGAGTCTAGATAAGACATAACAGGCTGGATTTGACTTGTGGGTCATAATTTGCCAATACCTACTTGAAGCAATTAACTACAGATGCAAAACCCGTTTGCATAAAATAACTTGTGCAAATTTTATAAAGAAATAAAATAAGTCTATATGAAAAGAATTAAATTTTCATAAAATTTTTTGCATAGTAGATAATCTTTTTTTTTTTTAATTAATTTTTATTAATTATCTAAAATTCATAACAAATGGAAGGAAGAGAATAAGTTTTCAAAATGAACAAAATTCCTAAAATCTTTTGACAATCAATAACCTTCGTGCCCACAAACATAAAAAAAAGATTGTCAAAAACGCTATTATTTTAACTACATTCACTTCTCGGCAGTGTTTATGGTGATTAGAATTGTAAGAAAACCTAAACATGATGAAATTGAAATTATACATATTCTTTATTCTTGAGGATTGACAACAACAAAAATAAACACTATTTGTTATGATATTTATTGGAATGGTTATTAAAACATTGGCCAGTTGATTCAAACTTTATAAAATGGTAAGTAATAAAGATTTCCTTATAGTTGGTTCGTATATTTTAATATAATAATTTAGTAATCTAATAAATAAATTGTGTTTAATATTTTTGTTTTAAATTCTCAAGAACAAAAATATGTATAAATTCACTTTCATCATGTTTAAAAATTGTAATCATTTTTAAAATAATAAACATTACCGAGGAATAAAGGTAATTAAAGAAGTGGTGTCAAGGGAAAACTGTCCTTTTGACTGTTTTTTTTTTTTCCTGCAGGGATGAAGGTCAGAGATTGCCAGTTTTTTTCTTTTTCAGCAATTAGTCTAATTATGACTAAGGGATCTTTCAGTGTAGAATCATGTTCTGTTTGAAAGAAACAGATAAATAGACTTCTCTGAAAGATAAACAGCATTTTTTGTTTGAAAAGAATTTTATAATATCTGGATTTCTTGGATAAGGTGTTAACATTATTTAAATTCAGATTAAGGTTTTCATCATTTTTATTATCACAATGTTTCAGTCATCATACCTTCCAGCATTCTTCAGATGTCTGTCAATTTGGTAGTAATTGTTTGTTCAATTCCTGGGCTAAACAATACTGATTTAGACTGGGTGGAAACAGCAAACAGTACTAAAAAGAACAAGACCGAGATATCCATAGACCTGAACTGTGGAACAAGAAAAAACCTGAAAGTTACCCAGAGCAAGAGATATCAGAAGAAGACCAGTGGGCACAACAGATAAAACATTGTGACAATAACAAAACCAAGGAGATTAGTCCAAATCTAAGTAATTCATTTTCTATGGTTTATCAACCCATTGCAGGTTATTTAAAGCCAGAAAATATTTTTAGATTGTAAAAATATTTTTTGAGATGATAATGATTTTGTGATGCAAGTCTTACTAATTAACCCATAGCTGTGGGAAGCAGAGGTAAAGTTATTACCTTTCCCAATGGTATTTGGGCCTAAGTGGATATAACGAACCCAATGGGAATTGGAACTTGGCTCTCTGATTAACAATTCTGAGTCATTATCCATTACACCACCTGCACATCCAAGCTTACAGTACCTGGTATTCCAAAGTGGTTACCCATCTAGATACTGACCAGACTCAATATTGCTTAACTTTGATGATCGCACAGGAACCAGTGTTTCCACTGTAAGCCAGATGATATAAGTAACAATCCCTACTTTGCATTAAATGTTTATATGAATTCATTGTAACTTAGAATTAAAAGACAAGAATCACTCCAGAAGAATTTACGACAGAATCAGCTGAACTTATTGAATGAAGATCAGAGATTTGCAAGTCAAAACAAATTTTAAATTTACAATGAGCATACAGTTCCCGCAACACCCCAGAAACACCTAATCAATATTAGAGAATTTTTTCATTGATCACATTTCCTTTAAAGGTCATTGATCACATCAAATTGTTTTGTGTTCTCTGAATTAATAATGAAAGACTGTTCCTGGTTGGCAGATAAAATCTCCAAGACAGGTTGCATATCATCATCATCTTCATCTGTACTATTATTATTCCTTGTCAATTCTTCACGACCTGCCATTTTTTTATCAAGAGACGAATAGAGCTGACTTGCTCGTTGGACGGAGCCACAATTAAAATCATCAATATTATTTTTCTTAGAATAATTTCCATTTAACTGAATGTCAAAACCAGCATTGCTGTTGTTGGTGATATCTCGGTTACCATCCTTGTAACCAAATGTCAGGCTTTTTTGTTTCTGCGTGTGTAACTTTGCATGTCTGTTCCGTGTGCTGGGGTCAGAAAAATACCTGCTGCAGTGAGCACACTTGTAGGGCTTCTCACCTGTGTGCACTCGCAGATGACGGGTTAGTGCAAACGAATGCAAGAACGTCTTGTCACAGTGGTTACACTTGAACGAACGCTCTTTGGTATGTATATTCAGGTGCTTAGTCAGGTTGGACGAACGCGAGAACAACTTGTGGCAATAGGTACACTGCAGATGACGGATGACAGATACATTTGGGGCAGCATTAAGATCTGTGCTTGGTAGATCGTATTTGCCCTCGACCGATTCTGGTGGCTTCTCCAACACATCAGATTCTTTGGGTTTCTCCTCAGTTGTTGGCACCAGAAAGGAATCTAGAACCATTGCAGCATTAGATTCATAATCATTGGCTTCAAAATCATCTCCTGCTACTGATTCTTCTGCATGCGAGCGAAGATGCATGCGAAGAAGATGAAAACTTGCAAAAAGTCTCTTGCATTGTGAACACTCAAGTTTTTCTCCCGTGTGCGTTTTTAAGTGCTCGCTGAGGTGAGATTGTGAAGGGAAAGATTTTCCACAAAGTTCACAAGTAAGAGTGTGATGAGTTTTCTTGTGGTTAATCAACACTCGATATTCTTCGAAAGTCTCCTCACAGTCATTGCAGTGATAACGTTTCTCACCTGTGTGGCTACGAATGTGCGTCTTTAAATAGACAGCCTGTGAAAATGTTTTTTCACAAAATTTGCACTGGAACGTCGCTTTTGCTTTAGGCTGAAAGCGACTGAAATTAGAGTGGAAATTCATTGCTGGAATGAAACAATATTTTTTTTTTTTAAAAGGCAAAAAATAACAATTTCTTAAGAATTAAAATTTGGTATCACAGCTTTTTCTAACAAAATCTAATGGTGCATCTTCTTGACAATCAATGGCAAAATTCTCATCACAGTTTTCAGAAACCTTGTGTGCATATATCCATGGTAAAAATTCCAAATTTACATCCAATAAACAAGACAATTGCTTCCAAAATATCAAGCTAAGCATTGCTTAACCCGTAAAATCTTTGCAAAGTTTAAATATTTTTTTTCATCATTTTTAATAGCATGTTTTTGTAATATTTTTTTACAAGTGTTTAACTTTAAAAAGTTGTCGTTATTTTTAAGACAATGTCATTACAATTAATACACAATAATTTTATGAAAATCTGAAAGACAATGTGGCCTATATAAAAGATGGTGGTCTAGTTCAGTCCTTGAAAATTCTGGTATTTAATTGGCTGAATATTTTTATGAAAATGTTGACTGCAGCAGATGGTTTTGTTTTGCTTACTCACAATGGCCTGAAATTAAATAAAAGGAAGAATTGGTAGAGGTTTATAAAAATAAATTAAAAAGTAATAATTTGAGATTATATATAATTCAAAACTTGAAAAAAGTAATACTATTTTCAAAGTAAAATAAATGAACTCTTAATTAAAAAAAATTAAAAATAAAACCCACATGGTCATTTTAGTAATTTTTCTTTATATAATTAATTTATATTTTTCTTTCCCTGCTAATTTTTTTTATAGTAATGTTTTTATAAAAAAAGAGGCAAAACAAATCACTTTCACTTGCATTAAATTTAAAACTATGTGAAACAAACCAAAGCTGGCTTTTATACATAAATAAAAAATGTTCTTCAAATTAATTACATCAGGGTCAACCAAAATTTCATAATTCATCACAAATAATTTCATCACAAAGTTAAAAAAAACATTCCTCATTTTTTTTTTTACTCAGTAAGGATTAGTAAAATGAAGTTTAGTATCCATCCAATTAGAACATTAATTAATACAAAATAAAATTGTAATTTGAGAAAGAATGAATGAATGAATGACCGAACTGTTCCAACAGGCCCAAGTAAGATTAAAAAGTAAATAAAAAGATTTTACCTGATATAAAAAGAAAGAAAAAAGGGAGAGAAAGAAATAAAATTTAGGCATGAAGACAACAGTTGTACTTTTTATTCTTCGATCAACTGGAAGTACTGAAGAGCTTTGTAAAAAGATTAGAATTAGAACTATTCAGACAACAGTATTATCCAAATCAGCAAGAATTCAGGGGGAGACCAGATACTCCTAGTGTGAAAAAGACTTCAAAGAATAATAACAATTATCAAAGCAAGTGTTCAGTTAAGAAAATAGGATAAAAAATTTTTTACAAAAAGTGTGAATATTTTCAATGGAATTATTTTTTCCATTTATTAACATTTGATTGCAAATGCAAAAAGAATGATAAATTTGTCTGTCAAAAGACTACAATGAATTAAAAAGAAAATTGGTTGATTTACAGTCAACAAATATGATGGATTCAGATTGCAGGGTAAGTAATAATAGTTGGCTAGATGGGACTAGAGACCAAATGGTATTGTAGATGCTTAGAATCCCATATAGGGTGCATTTCACCATTCATTTTATGCAATGCTTGAAATAATAAGTCAGTTCTAATTTACTATTAATATGATAGAAAATAAATAATTAATTTATATTTCAGGATATGACGAGCAACATCTGAATTTAATGACAACAAATCTTTAAAGTCAAAAAGGGAAAATCATTATTAAAGGGGCAAATACATACACTTAATTGCCTCATGTGGGAGACTTAATAATGGGTGGGGCCTCAGTATGCAATAAGAGAGTTTTAGTAAAAAGGGTGTCAAGGAAATATCTTACAGGGCCAAAAAAAAAAATTGTGGTTGGTTAAAGCTTTTAAGCTTGGTAAGTGGGGCAGAGAATTTCCTTAAAAAAAAAGTTCCCTACTTCTGTTAATTACCAAAGACTACTTAAACATTTGTATTTTAAAAAGGAAAAATATAACACTTTTTTTTTTAAAAAAATTACATTTTAAAAAAATTTCTTTAAAATATAAACTACAAGATATTACTAATTTTTTAAATTACTAAGTAAAGTTGAAAAAATTAATACGGTTTTTGAAAATAAAATTTTGAATAATTTTGTAAGCCAAAGAAATTTTAATTTGGAATGGGTCACTTTTTTCATGTTCTTTGATTCATTTACAGCAAAAATGTCAGGAAAATATCTAATTAAATTGAAATTAAAAAACAAACTCTGAAACTGGCACATTACCTTCCAATTGAAAGTGGTTGAGAATGACTTTTTACTACTGGTTAGTATGTATATATCTGTAGTAAATAAATAAAGGAATCTAGTAACATCTGACATTTAAAAATAAATAAGGAAGCAACAAGTCTTATTTGAAATGCTTTTTTTCCATTGCATAAAAGTCCTTAAGTTTTAATCTCAGCATCAAATGAAGGCCGGAAAATTTAATGGTTGAACAAAAACCTCATTAAACGAATTATAAATTTATATTCGTTTTAGTTAAGAATGACTGTTTAAATGAGTATTTTATTTTCTAGTCAGAAAAATAAAAATTACAACTAAAAAAATTTAGTTTTGTTCTCCTCATGACAACCATAGCCTTGTTGTCAATTTAATAGCCAAATCCAGTTATTGCGTAAAATTAGTTACATTTTTGTTCCATCATCTTAAAAATTAGAATTTATAAAACGTAAATTCTAAAAATATTTGAAGAATTTTATGCTAAAAAACTGAAGAAACTGTGTGCATGCAATCGGCATCCATGGAGAAATGACGGTCTCCAATTTCAAAATACGGAATACCGTAAGGTGCACTATAACTAAGTAAAAAGTTTAAATGTTTTTGTTTTATCTCTTATCAAAAAGTATATAAACTAAAAGATAAAAATTACTTACTGGTTAATACTTTTAATTTAATTTTTCATATTGTAAAATAATTTATTTTGGCAAAATATTTTTAATAAATTAAAAAAAAACTAAAAGGAAAACAATTTGCCGACAAAAGAAATACACATCACATCACCGTTAAAAGAAAGTTGAGGATCTTGTTAAGAACTGTTTACTTTTTTAGTCATATATTTTCATTTGTGTTACTTAAGCAACTAACAAAATATATTCTGAATGAATCATTCCGATAGCCTTCAGCTTGTTATAAAAGATTTGATAAAGGAGTTTGTTTTTTTGTTTTTGTTTTGTTAGCACCGTGACCCACCCAACAATATTTTTGACTTTCACATCAATTTCCGCGAACTTTTTCATGCAATGATTATTATTATTACCATAAAGTAATAACCTGACTTTTTTGGCCTTCACCACAACAATTTATTTACTGATAAAAGCAGAGATGGAAACAAAATTGGGTTTTTTTTTTATCAACTTTGTAAAAAAAAAAAAAACGACCGGTAATTAAGGTATTTTTTTTTTTTAATTCGCCCACAAATGTGGGGCTTTTTCTTTCTTTTCATTTTTTTAACTTTAAGAAAAAAGTTCTATAGAAACCCTGGAAATATCTCCGCATTGAATTTTTTAATTATTTGGGCAAAAATCATGATGTCTATTTCTCTACTTTTCTGCACAAAATTCCAGTTTCTTTTTCCTGAACTTTTGAAGGAGATGCAGAGAGACAAGGAAACCCAATGTGTTTTCCCTTCGATATCCCCCCCCCCCAACTTAATTGGAATAATGTTGCTTTTTTTCCTGTGTGTATGTGTCAACAACGTTAAATGATGATGGTTGAATTCTCCACATAAAGAATTATTACTGGTTTTTAAAAATATTTTTCCTTTTTTTTTCTTTTTTCATTCATCCATCACAAAATGTCATACAATTTTTTTCTTAAGAGAAACTTTAAATTCAAGAATTAGCAAATTCAGCTGGTTGATTCCTTTTTAAATTTTATAATTAATTTTTATTGTTGTAAAAAGAATTCAGACATCATTTTGAAACCTTTTTTTTTTTACCAAGAAGCTTAAAACGCCATATTCTACCTACAAAAGTCTGACTGTTACAAAAAAAAAAAAAAAAATTCGAATGCTGATTTTCTAGGCAAACAGGTCCACCCACTTGAAAAATTAGATTAGTAAAATAAAATTTTACTTAATTAAATTTAAATAGCAGGTCATCTCAACTTTGTCATAAAAATCTCACATTAATATTTTTTTAGGAAGTAAAAGACCTGTTAACTTTTTGCATCAAGGATTTTATGGAAAAAATTATGTAAATTACCAGCTTTTTTTAATCCTATTACAAATGTGCAGTTTGTAAAAGAAGAAAAAGAATGTAGATTGTAGAATTTTAATAATTAAATTCAAAGATAGATACATAGGGAGCTTTGACTACAGGTTTTCAACAGCAAATTTAAATTTATTAAGCAACAGTGGGTTTAGTTAGCCCCCAAAATCTATAATTAATAAATAGCTTATGCCTGAACGTTGGTCTTTTTCTATGTGTATTTAAATGACAATGATTACATTTACTTATTCACTAATAAGAAAGAAAAATGATTATTGCAAAACCAAACTAAAGAATTCTTTTTTCTGAAAGAAACAAACCTAAGCTCTTAAAAAGATGAACTTCAAATAGATAGAAATTAGAAAATATCATTTAACTTGAAAAACCATTGATAAACAGACTCAAGTTTTGTTACTCCTTTACCCCCTTTGATCTTTGAAAGTCGGTTATTCTTTTTGGCACATGACGCACACAGTGTTGAAGTGCTGAAACCACTTAAAATCTGGCCCAAATATTTTTTTTTTCTTTTTAAGAACTTCTTGGTTAGAATCACAATGTCTACTGTAGTTCGGTGGAGTACCTCTAAGACGATATGAGTATTGAAACGACTAAGAAACCCTTTCTTTTGAAATGTTTGCTCATATCTTTAGAACTGGATGAGGCCGAGAACTTTTCAGCGTTTCCTTCCTACGTAAGGTGTGCATCACGTGAGAAAAAAATATTAAAACTTAACCTACTTTAAAAGATCAAAGGGGTAAAGGAGTCTGCCAATGTCTTTCTTTTTGTCTCCATCTTTTCTGCTTTCCTTTTTCAGTATGTTATGCGTCGGTGTGTAGTCTAGCTAGAGAATGAACAGATTCACATGTTGAGTGCGTCACATTTTTTTTCACGGAACGGACATTTGGACCCTAGGAAAATAATCCATATTTTATATAAGCCCGTTATTATGTATGGGTACTATGCTAATTTTCATTAAAAATACAAATGACTGATTTTTCTTTATCCGAAAGTCACGGGAACACTCGTGGCAATGCAGCAATTGCAAGACAAACCATTGACTGCGAGTTCATCCCTTACTATGTGCTTAAATAACTATTTGCAACACTATTGTACACACTAAACTTTTTTGTTTAACTTTCATTTTTATTGATGTATATTGTAAATAAATAATATCAGAATTATACTACCTTCATTTTTTTAGATAGAATTTGAGTTCTGATTAAATTTAAAAATCGTATGTTTTTTTTTGGTTTTGTTGTTGTTTTTTTTTCATATGACCAGAAAAATTCCAGTGTTGTTGATTTTTTTTTCAAAGAAGTGATCCAGTGTTATGTACAAGATGTGTACAGTGGTTCGATTGCTGCTTTGAGGGACAATTAAAAAAAATCTTTCGTTACACCAGTGACCTGATCATGTTTTTCAGTAATTTGTAAATTAGCAAAAAAGGAGAACGGATTATTTCAGTTTTTCAATCATCAGTCTATTTATTTATGAGCACTTGCTCGATGTCCAAATTCTGATGCATCATGTAAAAAAAAAAGAAAGAAAGAAAACATCGACAATAAAAGCTATAAAAAAATCTACAAACTCGAACAGAAACTTAAAAAGAAAGAAAGTCTCATAAATAAAATTCTCTCACATCTTTAAAGTTCAAAACATTTTTCAACAGGTTTTCGTCATTTAAACTTTTTTTTGAAGGTTTCAACAAATTATGAAATAAACTCTGTGATAATAATTTCACTTCATAATTCACTTTTCAAAAAAAAAAAAAAAATAAAGAAATTTTAAACTAAACGCCTCATATCGCGAAAATGTCTCCTTTACTTTTTAAAATAACTATCAGATTTTTAAACAATGCTTTCCCTACAGAAAACAATTTTTAATAGGATGCATTATTATATATACATCACTTTTAACGACAAATCTACCACACAAGAAAACGTCGGTTACCAAATGAATGTCTTTAGAGATACATATAGAAAAATTACGTTAAAAATTACAAGTGTTTTTATCTGCTAAACTATACTTGAGAAGAAGAGATTTCGCAACTTCATCTTTTAAATTTGTTTAGTTTTACCGTTACGTGTCACTTTTTGATGACTTGGATAAAAAGAACTGTAAATAAACATTATAACATGAGGGTGCATTTTGTGGTCTTGCTCGGCCTCCGTATTGAAAACAAGTCGAGCGTCATTTGTCATCACAATCAAGGCAAGCTGAAATTACGGACCCGGATTTTAAAAATAAAACTAGTTGTTGCCGCATATACATATTTTAGTATATATTAAAAATTAGTGTTAGAGAAAAATTATAGCAGTCGAAATGTACGTGGGTGGGACCGATCAGAAAAAGTGTCACATTGAATTTTTGATGGGAATTAAAAAGAGAAAAGTATGAAGTATTGCGAGATACACAATAAAATATGGCATATGTAAATTAATTGCACAAATTACTTTGTAATATTATAAAGGCGGATTTGCTAAAAATGTAAATATAATAAAAAATGCAAGAAAATAACAAAAACAAAGATCAGCAAAACAAAAAAGGCAATATTACCAAAAAGAGGAGATATTATGAAAAAAAAAATAAGTTTGAAAAAGGTATATATCACTTACTTTTAAAAACAGACTTTAAAAAGGGGGTCAACAAGTTAAAAGTGAAGGTACATTGCATAAGGAAAAATGCCCTTTCATTAGCCGATAAAATAATAACTGAAATTTGAGTCTATGATGATGGCTAGGACATAAATTGAAGCTAAACAGAGGAACGATACCCCCCGATCGAACATAGGTAATTACCAAACTCTGGAGCATAGATGAAGGAAGGCCGGACTAACGATTGGTTTAAATGTGTGGTCGGAAATGTGCAACGGAAGAGAAGGGAATTCGCTAACGCCCCACTTCCTGAATTGGTTCCCTGCCTCAAATAGTTTAAACAAATAAAGTTATTTACTTTACACAGAATACATAAGGTGATGATGATGACTTGTCAGCTTTTTACAAGGATTTATTTTTTAAATATTAACAATTACTATTGTAAATTATATGTCGTTTTCATTTTCATCTTATTTATTATTTATTTTTCTCGGAAAAGATTTACTGAAAAAGTGAAAATTAAAAATTTCATTTCAAAATTAATAAAAAAGTCACATGCAATTTTCAGCAACTGTTTTTGGATAAAAAAAATATTCTTCCCCAAATATTTCTTTTTAAATTGTTTTGAGAACATAAACTATGATTGCTAAAAAAAAATAAAATAAAACAATTATTATAACTTTTCAGGTCTCAAAAGAAGAAAAGAAAATATTATTTAAAAAATTTTGTCTTCTTCTCTGTTCTGTGTCTCTTCAGAACATTTGTGATTATGGCTCTCCACAATTTCCAATCTTTTGTAGCTCTTAATAAATGATGTCTTTTTGTTATCTCTTCTAAATCTTGTTCTGCCATCCATTTACTCAAACTCATTCTTCTTCTTCTATATGCCATATTCCTTGAAGAGATCATGGCTCTCCACAATTTCTTGTCATTTGTAGCTTTTAATAAATGTTGTCTTTTTGTTATCTCTCCTAAGCCCTATTCTACCATCCATTTGCTCAAGCTTGATAAGTAGTTTATGCATTGTTTTCTTCTATCCCTCTTCACTTCAATCTGTCCTGTGAGTATCAAATTTTCCAAACTCTCTTTCCTCATTATGTGCTCTAGAAATTTCAACTGTCTCTTTCTGATATTAAGTATAACTGTCCTTTTCATTTCCATTTTCTCTGAAATTTGATCCTGGCCATAATTGCTAAAAATGTACAGAAATTTTATTTTTACTACTTTAAAAATGTTAGCCTTGAATAAATGTTTAATCATCAATTTATTTTTTTTTTTAATACACATACTTTTAAGAGAAGTGTATTTTTATGAAGTCAGATGGTTTGTGCAAAAAATTGTTACACAGTTAAAAAAACGCCAAAATGGTTAAGAATCCATTTCAAGTAATGAAAAATTATTTTTTTGTATATACTGACCAATGAGAGACATGGTCTCAAGTTCTTGTAAGAATCTGTATGGGAGCCTTGTGAGCCTATTTTATGGAATAAATAGAGCTCAGGTCAGAAGATGAAAGAGAAGACTTTTTGACAGCAAAGGGGCAAGGCAAATCAACATGAAGGAACACAAGGCATTTGACATCAAGAAGCAAGCATCAAGTAGGCACAAGGTTACAACCCAGCTAAAGAGGATAAGAATTTTGAAGTTCAAGTAAAAATTCTCCTAGAAAGAATGAAAAGAATTCAAAGAAATTTTCCTGTGTACAAACAGTGTGAATTTAAAAGGGACTTTTCTAAAATTACTACATGTCCCAGAGACACTTGTAGGGCAAGTAAAATTAGGTTTTTCTGGTTTTTTGGTGGAACTATCTTTCAGAAAAAACAAAATTTTGATAATTTTTTCCCATTTTTCTATGGTAATCCTTTTTATCAGAATTTGTTATTTTGCCTTAATAGGCACACAAAAGGAAATTTTTATGCAAACTTTGTATTTGTAGCTTTTGTGTAATAAACATATTTCCTTTAAAATTTTATGCAGTGGTTGATCCTTATTTTGATATTTTGCATCTACTAACTAATTTTTTTGTATTTGGCACAAAAACTTAGAATTAATAGGGAATAAAACTTTTATAAATTTGAATATTTGTTGGATTAAATGGTATGCCAAACTGACAAAACCTTGAATGAATCTCTTCTCTCCAAAGATATTAAAATGTTACTGTTTCTGTTACTATCTGGATTATGTAACATGAAGAGATTGTCCAAGAAAACAAGAAATATTTAAGGATACAAGTTTTTATTGTAAAAAATATGGAGATTTTTTTTTTTAAGATATAGTTTCTTTTTTTTTTTAATCATTTCAGACTAAAGAAGGTGATAAAGCCACTAAAACACAAGGATTTACTGTGAGTAAAAGAAACTGATAAAACAATATTGAAGAGAAAGGACAATAAAAGAACAAGAATCAGAGAGACAGATGATCACTGATGTTGCATTTAATATTGTGATTGACAGAAAAAACAAGAAACTGGAAGGGCATTCCATAAAGTGCAAGAAGTGCAAGAAGCATAGAATTCATATCTAGCAATTTCAACAATAAGATGATGAGACCTAACTGTCAATCTAGTACTACATTTAAATTCACAAAGTCAAGGTTCCAAAGAGGAAAGGTCTTCAAAAGAATTACCAAGAGAATATTTACAGAAAAGTCAAAAAGAAGCTACACGATGGCAGAGTGGAAAAGTGACTGAAACCAAGGTGACAGGTCAGGACTGAGAGTATTTCATGTCTTTAGGTTTTACATTTAAAAAGTGTACACGCTCGGGTCCCCACATTAATCCGACCTTGTGTCACATCTCATTCTAGTGGGGGAATGAGTAAACACGGTAAAAAAAAACATGTCTACATTTAAAGTTTTATTGAAAAGAAATTATGTTTTCATTTTAAAGGTTTCAATTAAAAAAAAGAGAATGTTTTTATATAAAAATAATGAATAAGTGTTTTTATGCTTTGTGAATTGATGTTCTTTTGCTGATATTAAAAAAAATTAATCTGAACAACTGTTAACATGTTAACTGTTTTAACTGACACACACACAATTTATGCATCAAACCCCACAACACATCTGCTACTCTGACTGCTGGTGACCTCTGGCTTTACACTTTATGGAAATGTGATTGGTCTATATAAATAGTTACAGGGGAGTTAACTCTATAAACTAATATCCCAACTCAAGATATGAGAATTATAATGTTCATTATTGACGGATAAAAAATAGTTACATACTATATGTCATTAAGATATGAATAATGAAAGTGGTAGAATATCTTCATGTTCCTAGAATTGGCCAGTATTAAATTTCTGATCTGTATCTGATGGGTCAAATACTGTATGTTAAAGTTAACACTATAAATATGATTAAAAAAAATAATCATAGAATAAAACTTTTGAATATTTTCCAAATTATTTTTTCTCTGAGTTTATTTATAAATAATTAAACTCAAAGAAGAAATAATTTGGAAAATTTTCAAAAGTTTTATTCTAAAGAATTGTTTTGATGAATTTTTGTAAAAGTTGAAATCACTGATTTATGCTTTCTGATCAATAAAAATGATAGTAATTGATCCTTACTATTAAAAACCATTGTTAATTAACTTTTGAGGTTGTTCTGAGATACAATGGCCTAATATGAATGTACTTTCTTTTTTTTTTTTATATATTTATAACCTTTTTTGGGTGGGTGGGGGAGAAATCATCAACGCCACAACGAAAATATATAGATTACAAACAAATCATATACAATATAATAAGTATAAACAAAAACAATAAAATGCTTTGACATACATTTTAGAGAAAATTGTATATTTTAGAGAAAATATACATATACAGATATAAAACGGTTATGCTTATCTGGTGGAAGCCACATAGTCTGTAAGAGTGCTGTTCCCAAACATCTGCTTCATTTGGCTGTCAAAGGTGAAGAGATAGAAAATTTGATTTCTGTTTCAACTGGCAGCAGAACATATGTTCTGGTGCATGATGAGAGTTTTCATATTTATTTAATTTTTATAATCTCAGTTTTTCTTTCTTTATTGTTAATTATTATTGTTATCTGTATTTTAAACTAATTTTATTACTTAACTTTTAATTTTTCTTTTATTATTAATTATTATTTTGGATTTTATACTCCTACATAGCCTAGTAACCCTTAAGTTCAAGATCATTTTTTAGTGATTTATTTTGTTGTTACCACTACAAGCTAATACTTGGACATAACTAACAAGCATTCTCACTAATTGTTGGTTAGTCATAATTCAAGATTAACATCCTTATCCCAGAGACAAAAGTTGCATGGCTTGTCCTTTACTCAAGGTCACCTAGTATACAATGTAAAAATCATAGAGACCATTGTACAGAGACAAAGACAAGTAAAAAGAGTTGTCTTTTTAATAGAGGGTGGAGGTACCCATGTCATGTCATAAATTCTGCTGACTACCTCTTCTTTTGAAAGAAATCATGCCACTAAAGAAGTTTTAGACAATGTTTTCCATTTAATTCACTTTTGAGGATCTGCCAATTAGGGGAAACATTTTACATGAAAATGCAAACAATTCATGATTAAACACTATTAAACCATTTGCTATTCTTGAGACCATAATACAAAAAAAATGATCTTCTAAATGTCTGTCATCCTTTATTTATTAAACCAATTAATGGCTATTTATTCTCACAGTCAGCTTTTCCTGTATCTGCAAGGTTTTGTGATGGTGACTGATATGTATTCAATGTTTTTATTGAACATTTTTCTTGGTGTTATATAAAGAAAATATATGTAGAATATTTATTTTATTTCAATGATCATTAAGCCGGCCATTTTGTGGGGATAAATTCCAAATTTTTTAATGGACTTTTAAATTTCTCTCTCAATAATAATTTATTAGTCACATGCCATATATGAATAAAATCTGATCTAAACATGACTAATTTCTGTGATTTTTGTTATGACTAACGTTTGGGTTAGTATGATTCTTTAAAAAAATGCTCATTTTTGGTGGGGGTTTGTAAATATTATTCATCAAAAAAGCATTTTTGTGCAGGTTTTATCCTGTTTTATTAACCAATTTACTGTGATATTTGACTG